TGGATGAAGAGGAGAAGTAAGGAGGCTGCCCAAAAACGACTAGAAACCCTAGAGAATCAGTTGTCCACGTTTTTGGGGCCTAAGGGGTCCTTTATATACTTGTGTGGGCTGCTAGGGTTTCAGTCAAAACCCTAATGGACAGCTTAAACTCTAAGCAGCCCATGGAACCTTCTGGACAAGGCTATGGACGAAAATATGATGGGCTTCCATCATAATTTCGTTCACCCCTTATTCCTTTAGCATTCCTTAGCCCAATAACTCAATTATCCAATAATTGCAGTCCAGTCCCCTATATTTAATTAATCTCTTTTAGTCACAAAATTAATTCTTAATTAATTATTGACTAATATTAATTAAACAATATGATTTCCCCTTTAATATATTATTCTCATAATATATTAATAAATCATATTTAAACCTTTCTCTCCTTAAATCATCCTACATATTGCTATGGTGAAGGCAACCCAAAAGGACCATGCTCATAATCGGGTCAAGTACATACCAAAATAGTTATGGACTTAGACACTAATCCAACACCAGAGACCTAACTTGCCTAAGATCCATAAATTCATGAACATTATCACTTTGGACGTCCATAAAGTTCTTAATGCTTGGTCTTAATCCCTTAAGATCTTATTTCTCCATGCATGGGACACATACAACTAATAGGACCTCATTTTTATCACTCAAGGTCTCTTGAAGAGTCTAGAAGGACATCCGTTTTTGTCCAAATCACAACATGCACCACCTTATGGCTTTTGGGACAAGAAATGCTTTTAATAAAGTAAAATGATGAGATTTGTGATATACGCATAAATTTTGGAACTTTATACCTTCTGGAGCTTCTTGAGCACAAGCTAACTTCATATCTACATGCTTGATCTTCTTCTCCAACACTTTGATGCAATACCTTCCTTTTAAAGCACTCAAGAACATACCAAATAATCTCACACAAAGGAAAGGCTAGGGTTTAGGGAGGACGAATGTAATCTGTGGAGGCTGAGGTAAGGGAGGTTTTGATGCTCATAATGTTGCTTATATAGGCCCCAAACCCTAAATATTAGGGTTTTACCCTGACATCAGTATGCCCAACGTACACAAGTGTACGCCCAGCGTACTAAGGTGGACCTTAGTACCCTTAGCGTACTCTTATGTACACACAACGTACTCCCTCTTGGCCCAAGTTTGAAAACTTGTCCCTTAAACTTATCTCGGCTCTTCACTTCCAACCCCAAGGACTATAAATGACAAGGTAAAGATAGAAGGGTTCGGGAATATCTGCCAAATCTCGGGATGTTACAATTGTTGTTTTGCTCATAACCCAACAATAACTTCTTCGTTATAAGTCGGATTTCAACGTTCTTTATCTGTACGGAATCCTTGTGACATATACTTTGGTTAAGATTATTTATCATAAATAATCTTCTATCAAAAAGTTATTTTTAATGCTTATTATCTCTAAATTGACTAGATCAAATCTGTAGGCGTTATATTGAGTACGTTGAGCATACTGAGTTGCTCCCCCGTAATCCTTCCAAGTCAATGTAACGTCCGAAAATTTCCAAGTAAAAATTTCATTTTTAAATAATCAAAACCCTTCATTCATTATCCCAAAAGACAATCTTAATAAAAGTGTTCTCAAAATATCAAAATAAAATTAAAAATAGTCAATGCGGAATAAATCTCCAGGGGATGCAGTACCATCAAACTAGGCCCTTCCTTTTGAAACCAGATGTACCTGAAAATATTTTAAACATAAACTGTAAGCACAAAGTTTAGTGAGTTCCCCAAAATAGCCCATCCATACATACATAACAATCAAAGCATAACTGGGTCTATTTCACCCCTTTCGGTCTCTTTCAACCAATACTGGATTTATTTCACCCCCTTCGGTTTCTTTCAACTGGCATCGGGTCTATTTCACCCCTATAGCTAAGCATACAATCATATCAGCAAGAGTCACAAAGACAACAAACACTTACAGGCATAACAATAAGTGTCACAAGGACAACTATCATCCTACAAACATAATCCAATGGGCTGGTATTGGTGCCTTCAACCCACGAGTACAGTGAATGAACTCACCTCGCAGATGAAACCACATCTAGTAGCACCCACAGCCGAAGAATGGTGTTAAAACCTCCTATTAATCCATACAAGGTAAACCCTCAATCTACCTTCTAAAACTAACAATTGGCCAAAAGTCAACCAAGTTGAATGTCAACCCTCAAGGTGATTGGTCAAATCCATCATCAGCTCATATCTACGCCATGGCCAACCTATGTCCACGTCGTGGCTAATAAACAAAACTCCAATCCAAGCTTGAGACGTCCTCCATGTTGTGGCTAGACCATCATCACATCATGACTATTTGACAAAGTCGCAATATTCCAAACATTTACCACACCATGGCGCTCAATCTGCCATGTCGTGGCATGCACCAAACAATAGATCGTGGGTAACACAATCGACATGTTGTGGCACCATCCTATCATGCAGTGGCCACTGCCTTTGGGACAACGTAACCAATAAATCGTTAATCATTTGACCCACTCATCCAAACCTTCTAAAAGCCATTCATACACCTAAAACATCCTAAAAGTCATTCCTTTTTAGACATGCATAACCTATGCAAATCTTTGGATTAAGTTAGGTCAAGAAGACGAAAAAGAGCTCAAAACCTCAAGTATGGAAACAAGACTTTACCAATTCATAGTTCCAGAATATATGACGACTAAGGGACCAAATTGAGCTATAAAGTTGCAAACATCATCTCTTTCAACCATCCAAAACTTAACTATAGACCAAAACATACCAAATAACCTAGATCTATATGGTAAACATCATTAAGATAAAAACTTAAGAACTCACAAATGATCTAAAAACTACACACAAGGAGTCGAGATGAGTAGCTTGCTTGATCTATGCACAAAAGCTCCTTATTCTTCCTTCTAAATCCATAAAAACACACCAAATGAGTTAAGAGCTTCAAAGAGGGTTAGGGTTTAGGTTTCTGGGTGTTGGAAGTTGTTAAGAGGTGAAACCCTAGCTACTACTTCCTTTAAATACGGTGCAAAACCTAGAATTTAGGGTTTAGACCTCCAGATGGCTACCATGATGTGGCCACAAGAATGTCATGTCGTGGTGGCGTAAATGAAGTCCGCGGCCAATTTTCCCTTGCCACGTCGTGGTGGTTCCTCCACCACATCGTGGCAACCCCCTAAACTCACAATTCAGAAAATAAATATATATCTTAAGAATCCGGGTGTTACAGTCAAAGTGGTACGTTGGGCGTAATATGGGGTACGCAAGGCGTACTCCCAGGAAACCCACTGGGACCATTTTTGGGCCCTGGCTCGTTAGGGGTTTGGGGCCTTGTATTTTGGGTCATGCATGGCAAAGGCAAAATGGGTTTTTTCCCTTAGTATGATGAAGATGATTTGGACCTTTAATATTGGATTAAATCCATAATTATTAATTATGGTTGTCTTTGGTTTATGATTAGTGTGAGGAGTCGTGATAGCAGCAACTCGAGTGTGTGATTCAATTAGAGGTGAGTGTTCTCACTATGCTTGTGGGTTGAAGGCATCAATGTCGACCCACTAAATTTTTTATGGGGAATGATAGTTGTTATGTGACTCTTACATGTTTGTATAATTGGGTTTAAATAGACCCCAAGGTTAGGCCCATTATTGTAGAATTAGGTTGAAATACACCTTAGGGATGGGCCCATTAGTACTTGATGGGTTAAAAGAAACCCCAGGGATAACCCCATGATTGTATATTGAGTTAGAATATACCCCAGGGCTAGACCCAATTATATGTTTGGTATGTGGTACTTTGGAAAACTCACTAAGCTTTGTGCTTACAATTTATGTTTATGGTTCCGGTACAAAAAGGAAGGGCCCGACGTGATAGCACAACATCCCCCCCCCCCTTCTTGATTTTCCGTACTATTTGGATATTTGTACTCTGATGCTTTTGATGTTGTATTTTGTGATCGACTTAGAGACATTTGATGAATCAAAACTAATGTTTTAAAGACACAAATTTATTTGTGATTTTAGGGTCGTTACACACACATACTCTCTCTCTCTCTCTCTCTCTCTCTCTCTCTTGTTTGTTTGTAGATGTAGATCATATTGATCGAACCACGTTAAATATTATGTTCATTTTTTATTTAAGTTTTTCAGATGTTTTATTTCATAAGTTTCACCGAAGTTTGTTTGATATTTGTCTGAAGTGCGTAACTTGTTTTGCTGTTATCCCAACATATTAGTGATAATGTAGGAGCCGATGAGTTTCTACAACCTTGAAAGAATTCTAAATTGATATAAACTTTTAAAGAAGAATTTGAGACTAGAAGTGAGTAAGTTGTTGAAATTGAATATGGACTTTGTATCATAGAATTATATGGAGAACATGTTTTAAATTTTGGTATTAAGCCTTGATTCTGAAGACTCGAAACATATATATTTTATTTTGATCTTGTAATCTGCTTATTTTGCTATGATATATATTTGATTTTCTAAAAATATATCGTTTTACAATTTACGCCATCATGGTCTTACTGGTCCATAGGACCGACTGACTGGCGCCAGCCGACTTTGTAACATTGTCTAACATTAACAATGATTATACTTTTTGTGAAATACTCATTGGTTTTATATCTATACGGTTATAAGGTTTAAGTTGGTCACGTTTTCCATAGCTAATTTCTATTTATAGATATATTTGTATTGGAAATCGGTGTGTTTGGTAGCATTCCACACGCCAAGGGAAACATGAATCTTGTGTCATCGTAATCATTTGAAGTAACTAATACCATGGATTCTATTTCTCGACCATAGTATCCATAGCTACTTTATGTATATCAATGATACCCTTAAACCACATTTATTGAGCTACTTATCATTCAAACGTTACAATTCTTGTGAGAAGCCTAGCAACCTTCATATAAAACCCCTTACCTCTCTCACTTCACAGCTTGGTATTCCATCATGGCAGAGCCTAACGCTGGCGGCAGTTCATCGGACAGCCGCCGGAAAGCCACCAGAAAGCGGACCGGAAGACCATTCAAATCAGCACCACCAGACCAAACTCCCGCAACCACTCCTTGTGGAGCCTGCAAGTTCTTGAGAAGAAAGTGCATCCCAGGATGCATCTTTGCACCCCACTTCACCACCGACCACGGTGCCGCCTTGTTTGCCGCCGTGCACAAGGTGTTTGGAGCCAGCAACGTGTCAAAGCTCCTGATGCACCTCCCGGTGCACCGGCGACCTCACGCGATTGCAACCATCTCATATGAAGCTCAAGCCAGGTTGTTTGACCCTGTTTATGGTTGTATTTCAACGGTTATTGGTTTGCAATTACAAGTAGCCGCTTTGCAAACCGAGCTAGCCATGGTTCAGAACCAGCTCATAAACAATAGAGTTTCGGTTGCAACCGCGATCCAAGGCTCACTTCAACAACCAACCCCGGTGCACCACCTTGTGGGGTATACAAATGGTCCATCTGCTTCGAATAATAATGTTCTTAACATGAACAACTTTGATCCTTTTGTGTTTGCCGATGAAATGCTTTAGTTGTTGTTTCGTTATGAGGGAATGGAATCACATATAGTATGTAGTTTGCTATAATCCTTAATTTTATTCATTCTACTATCCGATTATATACAAACGCTACCCAAAATATTACAATACAATGTTTGAAACCAAATAATGTTGTTTTGCCTTTTGTTGATCAAGTGTAATAAGTATCGATGAAATAAACAATTAAACATAGGGGATTAAATTTAAATTTTGGATTTGTAATTTGTGTTATAATGATTTGTGATTATATATGTTTTATTGTTCAAAAAGTGGTTACAAGACCAATGCCCAACTCTTCTGCTAACTCATCCCATACGGGAAGAAGTATCAAAACAACTAGAAATATGGCCACTGTCACCACCGTTCTCCTCCATGTCCCCACCTCCGTCACATCATTCAGGCAAGGTTTTTCCGGCGACCTCTGTCAAAATATCCCAAAATTAACTTCATATTATTATTTAATATTACCAATATTTAAAAAACATGAATTTATTATACCTGGCAAATTAGTACATACAATCCCCATGGAAGCGACAAGGGCCCACCAAGCTACAAATTCAAAAAAAAAAAAAAAAATTGGTATATAGGGTCTTTTGTGTTAATAAAAAAATATGAATTGTGAAAGAATTCGATAATTTTATTATATAATATATACCACTCCAAACCCGAGTAACGAGTAAGTTGTTAAACCAAATCCAACAAGTGCTTCTTTCCCAAAAGCACCCTGTGTTAAATGCATGATATTAATAAATTTAAAGGTTATAAATGTAAATAAACAAAAGAAATCCATACCTGAACCATTCTTCCGCCATCAAGGCATCCAACCGGAAGCAAATTCAAAGCCGAAGTAGTCAAACCACACCTGAAAAATAATCGACAATATTTCTTATTTTTTATATAAAAATAATACTATTATTTTGTAACAAATTGAGTAAAATAAAAACATCAAAGAGTACAATACCAGCCAGCAATTACAAGAGGATGGATTGAAACCGTGGCCCCATGCATCGCCCTGCAAAATAGATATAACAGTAAATTATGATGTAATGTTCTAATTCCGTTCCTTTGTGATTCCATTCCATCGAACCAAACATGACAACGGAATGGAATCAGCTTATCAGCCAAGGCAATGATGTTGAAAGAGAAAAACATACGCATAACCTAATGTGGCTCTACTTATAAGCCCAAGAAGCAAAGAGCCTTGAAAAAGCATGCTAGGAACTTGAACCATATCTCCAGCAGCATCTGGTTTTAATGAAAGCAAAAGCCCAACACCAAACATTGAAAGTGATAATGCAGCACCTGCAAACGGGCCCGCTAAAGATATGTCCACTTTCGTCTTTTTATCAGGGAGAATCGATTTAAACTATAAACAAAAATTACATTGTTTTATTAATGCTTCAATATAAGAAAATGAATATAGATCTTGAAACCCTTATACCTGAGTGATTGCTCCAAAGCTTCCAAGGGTGATATTTGGAATGAAAAATGGAATGCTTAATTTCACTTTCTTTGGGAATGCTGCAAGAAAATGTCCAACTTCCTGTATGTAAAAGGTTAAAGAATCATTGTTAAGGGTATGTTTGGGAATGCAGCAAGAAAAAGGGTAAGATAAAAGAAGTTTGAAAAATGGATTTTTCTTACATGAAATAACTGAACACCCAAAACACCATATGCAAGTGGCAAAGCGGCTTCCACAAAAGGGTAAAGAAGTTGCATATCTGGTGGCTCAATGGCATCTGGATCTGTAAAGTACTTAACCACTTCAGGAGGAAGTCGATTTATCTGTTGAAAAACATAATAATATTATTATTATTATTATTATTATTATTATCAATTAACAATTTGATTTAGTAATTATTACGAAATATTGGTATTTTGATACCTGAGAGGCGATTCCTAGCTCAACAGAAGAACCAATGGTGAGAACAAACAACAAGAGAGCAATAACATATTGCCAAAGGGTTGTGGGCCCGGGTTCGGAGACTTCTTTTCTTAGCATACCGAAGCTAACGCGGGGCCCACCGCGTGGGTCGGGGTCTTCTGAGTTGGGTTCTTCTACCATGAATAGGTTGTATTTATCTCCCATGATTTCGGATAATTGAGTTTGGAGTTTGGTGAAAACTTCTTCTCTATTGCCCCTAAGATTTCCAAGAAAGAGGATACCTTCACCTAAGTCTCCAAATGGCTCCTCTTTTGTTACCCAAAAGGTTGAATACCCAAAAAGTGTGTCCTTTATGAGCTTTACATCAGAAGGATCGACTTTTTCGGGTCCTAGAAGTTCCATGAGCTTAAAAGAGTCGACTTGAAAGTTGGTATATGATGATGAAATTGGAGAAATTGTCGGTGGCTACAAAAGAAGATGATGATGATGATGCATCAAAAGTCAAAATCTATAGAGCAAATGTTATATTCACATATTGTTGAAATTCACTCTTTCAGAAAAGAATCACACTCGCATCTTTTCAATCAAAGAACAATTAATAAGAAAAGAAGCGATTTTTACAATTGTGTGGGCAAACTGACAAGTGTAAACGCGAAATCAATCACTCAACAAAGAATTAAGCTGAAGCATAAACAAAGCAATGTGGTGGTGAAATGAATGTCAATCAGAGAAACTCACCCTGGACGAAATAGGTGTAGGCGGAGGAGGCACGGGCTTCTTATCGGAATCAGCCTCGCCACCGACAGTAGTCTCCTCCGGCGAAATCGTTGCCAAATTTGAATCCTTAGACATATCGTCGTCATCTCCTCCATTGCCACTGTTGCCATTATTATTATCACGACCACTAGCTGAACACTCAAATCCTCCAATAAACCTCTTGTTATCACTATCTAAACCTATAATTCGCCGCCTCTTTTTCGATAATAGCTCTCTACTAGACAAAATATAGCTGTTCTTGATGGTCCCATCATTCCTCCTGTTGTAAAGTCGAAATCGCTCCGCTAAATCGATACGATTAGGTCTTAAACGGAACCCTAAATTCAGTGTGCTCGTAAAACTACAGCTCGTGAGTGTACTCATTAGGAACTGAATCAATTCAATACCGCTTCTAAAGAAAAAGAAATGAAATTAAACACTTTACCCAGATGCAATATGATTTCGTATGACTTATAAGATATGTGTATGAACACTACGAACCAAAATCATATAGAATTGGTGAAATTCTGAGAGAGGGAAGAAGAGGTAATAGTACCATTTTTTGGCAACGGGAAGAAGAAGCAAAAGGATAAATCTTTATTTGGGGAATTTTCGAATAAAGATTCTTTATCTGAAACGATGGGCAGAAATTGGTGATAATTTTTAGATTGAACAAAAAAAGGCCTCGCGCTCCCGGCAAACAAAAGTTTTATGTTTTTCCTCAAAACTTTTTATCTTTAAATTCATTTTATATTTGATTTTTATCTCTAAATACAATGCTTTAAACCAACATAGTAAAGATCGAGATCTTTTCCTTTTTATACGTAATGCAATCCTATGTTTGGCTGAATGGATCAAGGTAGTACTACAACGATGGTGGTGGCAGATGGTGGTGGCGTTCTCCGAGAGTTTTGATTGCAAAAGCAAGGTCAATCGTACTCCATGAGGATGTATGTTATCGTTGCTAACTGGGCTTGGTTGTATTTATAGTGAATGAGCATTTATCAGTCATTGGATATATGATGTTAGACTTATATTAGAAAAATGATGGAATGAAATATCCGATTGTTTGTTGTTTGTCTTTTTTTAGAACAGTTCTTCTTTTGACAAGAAAGATTGTGGGTTATTTTGATGCTTTTTATACTGCACGACCGAGCAAACAGTGTTATTGTTTTTTATGTTTGACACAACTACTTAGGAATCTAGCCAAGCAAAGATATTTTGGGAGTTGCCTCATTGCCCAAGAGGGCCCGATTGAGTCATGATGTCATACTACACAAACACATCATCAAATCCCCTACTCTTACTCTTGAGCATGATGGCGTTCACAAATGTCAGTATGATTTGGCCTTAGCAAGTGACAATTGTCTATATTAGTCATCATTTGAGATCTCATTGAATTGCTTAGGGTAGTTACTTGCGTGTGTTTAGTGTAACTTGTGTTAAACTCGTTGAGTGATTTAATGATGACTTCGAATCTCCCGTCATGTGGTTCCCCTTTTAATTCAATACGGTTTATCATTTTTGTTGACCCTTTTTATTCTCTTTCTTCCTTAATTTCTCCTTGCTTTCTTCTCATCTTCTTCTGATAATTATTAAATGATTTTGCTCTAGGATTGTCACCTATTCTAACCCTGTTCAAGGTGTTAAATGAAAAGTATGGTCTCTGTCCCGAAGATAAAGTTGTTATTCTGGTGTTTGGATTCTTTGATTAGCCTTCATCCAGAAAAGTTAGCGTTTACCTCAAAACTATTTGATGTTGGTTTTCACTTACCAATCTTTTACAACATTAAGAGGAAGAGACGACTCATACTTCCGAACCACCATCTATCGAAACAACTTCAAAGGTATCTTGTGACATCCCCATTTTCATGGTTATAAAAGACCGAATTGTTTTTGCTTTATTTGAAAATCAGAGTATACGTTTAAAGAAATATGTGCAGAATTTGTTCCTAAAAATATGATAAAAAAATTTATCAAAACATTTTCGAATAAATGTATTTTCATTATATTAAAAACCCCGGGATGTCATTGTCAATACAGATCAAAAACATAAACAAAAACAACATACGCCTTACAACATGTATTTATTCTAATGACCTATAATCCATTGATCTCTCGTCAGATCATTATTTATGTGCTCTCTTGTCACTACCTGTATATAAGAAACTGAGTAGGTCAGGCTTGGGAGTCTGGTGAGCAAATATGGTTTTCAACCTACAATAATTACGTTTATTATTTTCATCAAATCAAACAACCCGATTACCCATTCCCATTACCCTCACTTTTTGTTCCTAAAGCATCTAAAGTAAGGGACCTAGCCTAAGGATTTTCATCGGGATGACAACACTGCTTAGGGAATTCCTCAACAATACATGTCAAATAAGGCAAACATTAAGGGGGTGGAGGACATCTGGTGAACACATAGTTCAAATAAACACTTACAGGTTGTGAGCCTGTCAGCGTTCCATTAGACTGTCTAGAATAGTCTGTGGTCGTCATCTATACTCCGCTAGATGACTAAATCATAGTAAACATCGAGGTCTTTCATCATTTTATTTCATCACACATCGATTATTTCATCTACCCATGTTTTACTCAACATATTCGTAGATATAAAATACATATACAGTTTAAATCATTTAAAATATGTATGAATCGTTCATCCAACATAGATATCAAGAACACATATAATATGCACACATAGCATGTAATTTATATTAAATATTTCATATATGTGTGTAAGATGAAAGTAACTATGCACTCACTTGTTAAAGTGATGATTTCCAACTCGGGCAACACTTCACTTCTAACAATTTTATTTTTCTTGACGAAACATAGTATTATTACCACTAGATTTTACTCTAATATTTATTGCGACTATTTATGAGCGATGTTGTTTTATAAGTGTTAAACAATACTTTTCAAACACTATGTACAGACAGGGGACAAACATGAAACACCGGAGGGCAGGACTATTTTGGCATCATAGCACTTCTGAAATCCAACAACCTTATGCAGCTCTTCAAACCAGATTCCCCATACCGCGAGTAGTTAAAATATATTATAATAACACTTTATATATATATATATATATATATATATATATATATATATATATATATATATATACATATGTATTATATTTTATAATATATATTGTTTATAGGTTCATAATAACGATAATAAGTTTAAAACTAAGCTATACTTAAAGTAGGGTAAGCATAACTCGCTTATTGGGAGGTTTGGCTAGGAACCGGGCTTTGCGGGGGAAGAACTTCCGAGCCAAAAAGCTCTTCTTTTCGGAGCCTTTTGGCGCTCTGGTCTTTTCCTTTAGCACTTATAAATTACTATGGTTTGGGAGGGTTTTAGAGAGAGGTTAGAGAGAAAAGGGTTATGGTGTGAAGAAAAGTGTTGAACCTCACATGATCTTTATAGCCCTCAGCCTCGGACTATGTTGGGCATTCTTTCGGAGGTACGATGTGTGTTCCGATACGATGTGTATACGAGGGCTACGCTTCGCGTACGAGGGAGCAGGTGTCTCCTCCGGATTGGAGGCCCTGAGGAGAAAGCAAAGGTCCAAATTGCGCCACATCACCCACTTTGCATCAGCTCACTTCCGACTTGTAAATTCTATAACTTTCGCACACAAGCTCTGTTTCGACGTTCGTTATATCCACATGTAGGTGGCGACATACTCTACAACTTTTGTTTAGACTCTGTCGGCTAATTTTGACTTTATTTTTATAGTTATATTTTAACTAGTCTGGACAGGTGAAGTCAGTTAAAAATCATAACTTTGTCATCCGACGTCCGTTGTCATCTATCTTTTTATCATTGAGATCCTATTAACGAGATCTTCAATTCTCGTTTAGGTTGTGTCGTCTAAAAATCGATCGATCTAATATTTGAATTCTGAGCTGCATACTGTTATGCCAAATCTTAGAAAAATCATAACTTTCTCATTCGAAGTCAGATTTTGGTGTTCTTTTTATGCACGCTCTCGGTTTAATGTATACTACGACTTTCGTTTAGATTGCTAAGGCTAAAAAGTACTCTATCATAAACTCACTTTCTACGTCACACAACGTCATGCCGGTTTTGTCATGAAACTTCGACATGTAATAACTTATTTGTTATAACTCAGATTTCGGCGTTATTTATATCTCCAGAATCCTTGTCACGACCACTACAACTTTCTTCATAAAGATTGGATCTATCTATTATTTTATTTTTGATGCTTATTTTAATTCTTAACTTATTATATCTTATAAATGAGTATAATGCACATGAATTCACATAATATTCAAGTAATTCCTCTTTATTACTTCAAAGTAGGTTATAATTGTTGACTCTAACTATTACATCATCATACTAATGCTTAACCCAGAAACACGGGCATTACATATCGTATCTTCCATTTCGGAACCTGATATTTTTGAAACTATCATGCATAACAATTTCCGAAACTCACTACTCCTCCACCCCTACATCCATTCAATCCACCAACATCAAAAATGACAACCTCACCAATCACCTCATCAATTCAAATATCATCCATTCCTCTTCTACCACAAATGAGTTCTGTTGAAACATCTCTTCCTCTAGTCTCAATCCCAATTTCTTCACCAATCTTTACAGACTCAACCATACCTACAACATCAACGGTCTCTACTTCACCAGAAGATCCTATTATCAAATCTATTTCGGAGGAGATTAGGATTTCAGGCATCCCTGGTAACACATCTGATGCGGAGCCAAATGCCACTATTAGTGTATCATCAAAACATCTTCCTCTGTTCATCCTTTCCATGACGATTCTGATATCATGTTCAGAGATGATCAGTAACCAATTGCTGACTTCGTCTTCCAACCATTCATTGTAAATATCAATAGTGATAACGACAAAGCTCCGATGACAAAAGGCCAGTTCAAGCAGCTGAATGAAAAGCTTGATTCCATTATGGAGTATTCAAATGCCTTTTCTTCATCCAAATGGAAATATATGTTGACAAAGCATAAAGCTACTATGGAAATGCTTACCTCCACCAATGCAAAAATGCTTGAAGAAACAACCAAGGCTAATCAAGCTTCCGAACAGAAAATCTCCGAAGCTACAGAGAAAGTCTAGAAATTGCAACAGGAAGTCAAGGAGTTCATGACCGACTTTTGGACTTCTTTTGAAAAGAATGTAGCTCATATGAACAAAGTCATAGAAGGATTTCAGATTTCTTTACAAGCAGAAAAAGAAGCTCTCTCATCCTTACGATCAAACATTTAAAATGACAATGTTGAACTCAATTCGTCCATTTCTAAAAAGCTCACCAAATTACAAAAAGACTTGGCCATTGAGAATAAGATCATGGATGCTTTGGCCGATTAAAATAAAAAAACTAAGGTTCTTCAAGAAAAATTGAAAAACGCATCGCTTGATATTTCCAAGCTTGAAGAAGAGAAACTTTTAGTTCAAGGTCACAATTTTGAAATAAACCAATGATTGATGTGAATCGTTAAGTCTCAAGATGCTCCATTTACGGACTATGCGGGTCAGATTCTTTCTGAAAAGCTTCATCATGTCTTCGCAATGCTTTATGAAATTAAGGGTTGAGAAGCGGAGCCTCTTCAAAACAAGGGGGAGATACGGAGGTGAACTTAAAAAATATGTATCAGACGAGCCACATGAAGAAAACAAGAAAGCTGATGCCATCTCGTTGGAAAAGAAGACTATGGTAGAAAAACTTAAAAACATCAAGAAGTTAAGGATCTTCGGAAGGGTCATGTATCTTCCGACTTTGGAAAATGCAAAGTCAATATAATTTTGGAATAGGATAATGAGGAAGATCATGTGATGACTGAGTCGGAAAAGAATGCAAGAGAGAAAAGATACAAAGAGCTTGACGAACTCAATGCTATCAGGCAAAAACTTGATGCTGAAGATTGAAAATCAGAAAACCTTATTCCCAGCCTGGACTCTTGAGCGGATACAAACGGAAGCATGTGGTGATCCAAATCTCTATTGGTTAAACCCAACAACCTCCTTTGACATAAAAACGATGTAGAATGCAAGTTGGATTTCCCCATCACTCCGAGGGTGTTTCTCTTCAAATGCTTTGAAAAGATAGATAAATCCTTGATCTCCAACACTGTTGTAAACCGAAAGCTTTTCTTGTTTTTTTTTGAAATATGCGAAACCGCAATACAAATCATGGAGTTTAAAAAGAATACTGGGAGTGAAGGTTGGCTTGCCGGTTCAAACCAAATACTTTCTGAATGTACAATTCAAAGGATTCTGAGGTTCCAATCATGTTCTTCACGAGTTCACTTTGGATGGTCTGCCATTTATGAACCCCTTTGATTGGATCTCGTTATTTAACATTGTTGCGAAGGATGTGAAGAACTATGAGCCCACCTATGATCACTTGAAAAGGATAATTAAGTGTTATATCCTGGATATTACAATGATGGATGTTGAAATGGCGTTTGTTTTGAAAAAGAGATCAATTTTGAAGCCGTTTGATTAACCATAAGACATCCAACATCTAAAGGGATGAATCATTGGCAAAAAGCACTGGAGCATCGTCCAAAAAATGAAGGATGGTGAAGTAATTAAGAATTGCATGTTCTTTTTGAGGGATAAGCATTTGTACTCTACAAGTGCTCTGAACTCCATGCTTACAAGGGCCGAAGCGAACAAGACCAAATTAGATGCGGATGTCAAATGTGTTTCAGACATGATTCGTTGGTATGTATCTATCCGACCAACCCTTCTGAAGATTATGCCGAAGATTTTTGATGCTTAAAGACAATAAAAAAGGCTTCATTCCGATTTGACACAAAGAGGGAGATTGTTGAGTCATATTTTATGTTGTATCAAATGGTAGTTTTCAGAATTTTGTGTTGTTCGGTGGGTTCCCTTAACCAAGCCACTGCCTATGAGTCGCCGACCCATTTTCTGAAATTGGCATGTCTGTTTTTGGAATTGTTGTCTTGCTTTGTCTATATATAGCGTCTGTATTTGACTTTTATGTAACAGCTTTTGTAATGTTTTCTTAGAATTTTGTGTTGTTCCAATTCTGAAATTGGCATGTCTGTTTTTAGAATTGTTGTCTTGCTTTGTCTATATATAGCGTCTGTATTTGACTTTTATGTAACAACTTTTGTAATGTTTTCTTCCAGCATAGAAAGAATAGTTCCGATCACACGAACTGTTCTATTGCCGAGATTAATGGAGTTCAACTTCTTTTCAATCATCATTGTTCCATATCAATGATTCATTTCGTAATATATAATCTATTGGTCATTTAATATATATATATATATATATATATATATATATATATATATATATATATACACCTGAGAACCGTATACATGTTTCTGTGAATTAAAAACAGGGCAGGTGATTGTGTATAATTATGAGTAGAGTATACTCAACAGAACTATCAGTAGTTTTAATTTACTTGATATACATGTGACATAGGTTTGATAAATATGTTATATTTTATTGGAGTTGTTATTCACTAAGCCGTGAAACTAACAATGTTTTGTTTGTGGATGTGTTGCAAGTAGATTATTGTGACTCCCGATTCAATCTTGTACTTGAGGCCAATACGATCCTTGTGATAAATCTTTGTATGCCAGAGTGTCAATGTACACCAAGATTATTTTTATAAATGTTTAATGATAAGCGATAAATTTTGTGGTCCACTTGGTGTGAAAAACTGGACATCACACTTAGAGCTATGTTTTTTCTATGGGGAGTTGACTTGGGTGAGAGGAAGCTTCATTAGGCCCGTGCGGATAAGTTCATGACTAATTACAATGAAGTTGGGTTGGGAGTTTGTAGCCTTTTTTCCTTTAATATGACTAGGTTGTTCAAATAGTGGTGACGTTTTTTACTCCCCAAAAAAGTTGTTTTTAGCAAAAATAACTATTTCGTTTGAAGATATTCTGGTTCAAGAAAAAATATTTTTTTCTGACAAAAAAATACATTTCGGCCTAAATTCGGGAACGGTATTTCGCTATTCCGGATTTTAGACTGAAATTTCGGATTTCAGAGAAAATAAAATTCAGAATTTTAAGAACAAGTCCAAATTCGATGACCAACTCCTGGATTTCAAGAAAAAAAATTAGTTATTTACTTAAATCTAACAAAAAATCAAACAAACATAGTAAATATGACTACATATGATATTAGTATATAAAATCAAACATTGTATAGAAAAATAATGACATTAAGCACTTTGAAATTGACATTTTGAATATAAGTGGTGAAATTTTTTTCCGAAAAAAAAAACAAATAAAAAATAATTTCGAAATTTGAATATCAAACTCGGAATGAAACGTTCTTTAAAAGATAAATTAAAAAAAACTTCTTAATATAAACAATAGTCCGGAACAAAAGCATCTGAAAAAAAATAATTATTTTTTAAAAACTAAAAAAAATAGTTATAAATAGCTAATTTATATACATCACTTCATTTCACTTGATAACATCTTGTGATTTAGGTAGATTAGTGGAAAAGGTTACAACATGTGAGAAAAAAAATGAAAAAAAAAAAAAAAAAAAAAAAAAAAACTTGTAACGTACAAGGAGTTTATGAAGCAAGGGAGGATAAGATTTGCTTCAATCGATCAAGATGCCATAGCCCATACGTATTATATAATTACAGTATTGTTAGACTACGACAGTGCGCGATCTTGAGTGCCCCATAGCAGCAGCTAACATCTTTCACCACCGAAACCCCGCATTCTGTGCGATTTGGGGGTTTAATCAGTTATTTATCCCCAAATTTCTTCTACAACACTTCGATTTGTGGAACTAAATCGACTTTGATATGCAAAAGCTTGGTGGATGCGCTGGAGAATGTTGGGGTGGATTCGTGGGATGTTTAGTGAGGAGAAAACAGGTAGATGCAAGTGTCGCTAGAGCTGAGGGCTTTCAGTTGGCCAAACGTCTCTCTGTTTTTGATCTCATCGCCATTGGTAAACTTTTCAATCAACTTTCGTATCATCACCTTTCACCTTTCATCGTCTATCTGTTATTGATTACTTCTCGGATTTACATTAAGTAAAATCGATACACATATATGTTTTGTTGATTAATACACGCTGTTTCTCCTAGTGTCTTTATGCAATGAATTTGTTATATATGTATGTATGATGTTGGGATGCATTGGTTTCAATTAACCTAAAACTTAAATCCAATTTTATCAGGAGTTGGAGCAACAATTGGAGCTGGAGTTTACATTCTTGTTGGAACAGTTGCTAAAGAGCAAACAGGGCCTGCAATCACAATATCATTCCTCATAGCCGGAATAGCAGCTGGACTTTCAGCATTATGTTATGCAGAACTCGCATGTCGTTGCCCATCTGCAGGGAGTGCATATCACTATTCCTACTTATGTGTTGGAGAAGGGTAATCTCGTAATTTTCCTTTAAACAATTCTCTTATCTCTTGTTCATATAATCATATTTTCTTTCTGCAAATCAACATTCTATCCCCTTCAACTTCCAGTGTTGCTTGGTTGATTGGTTGGTCCCTGATTCTTGAATACACACTTGGTGGAGCAGCAGTCGCCCGTGGCATATCCCCAAATATGGTGCACTTCATCTCCTTCTTCTTTCAACCTAATTTATAATTTCAAATTTCTTTTTCTTTTTCGAATTATAATTTCAATTTTAAACAGGCTGTGTTTTTTGGAGGTCCAGATAAGCTTCCTGCTTTCTTAA